CTTCACATACGAGTTCCTCATCTATATCAGAAGCCCCCCTTTTAGCATCAGAGTTCCTCGTCTACATCAAAAGCTCCCCTTCACATCAGAGATCCCAGTTTACAACAGAAGCCCCCCCTTTACATCAGAGTTCCCCTTTAATATCAGAGTTCCCCATCTACATCAGAAGTCCCTCTTTCACATCAGAGTTCCTCATCTACATCAAAAGCCCCCCCCCCCCTTTACATCAGAGTTCCCCATCAATATCAGAGTTCCCCATCTACATCAGAAGTCCCTCTTTCACATCAGAGTTCCTCATCTACATCAAAAGCTCCCCTTCACATCAGAGATCCCAGTTTACAACAGAAGCCCCCTTGACATCTGGGTCCGACCATCACATCAGGAGCCACAGCTGCGGCAGCATGGCAGAGAGCGAGAGGCAAGCTTCTATTTTCTAAATGGATCCCACCATTCCCGAGATCGGCGTCATTCTTTGCCAGGTGCTAACTACCAGCCTGTACCATGACATGACAATGTGTGAAGACTTTGAGGCACCCCTGGGGAAGCCAGAAGGCACCCTGGTATACAGTCTGAGGTAGATACACTCCTGATTTAGAACCTATTAGGGATCATTCACCTCAGCTGATCTACAGTGAGCATCATAGGCCAGACACAAGGACAATGAACACTAGAGATGCACCAATACCGGTTTTTCGGTATCTAGTAGCCATATTTCTTTTTTTGGTGCTCGCCGCTACCGAAACTCCCAATAAGGAAACCAAGCTGCCGGCTTCCGGATTAGCCGGGAAGCCGTCTCCAGCTAACGAGGAAGCATGGAGCTGGCTTTCTTGCCAATCAGGAAGCCGGGGGGGCAGGTAATAACACGGTGCCTGGCTCCCTGATTTGCTGGGAAGCCGTCTCCTTGCTTCCTCGTTACCGGGTGACAAGGGAGCATGGAGCTGGCTTTCTTGCCAATTCGGAAGCTGGGGGGGGCAGGTATTGACACGGTGCCTGGCTCCCTGATTGGCTGGGAAGCCGTCTCCTTGCTTCCTCGTTACCAGGTTACAAGGGAGCATGGAGCCGGCTTTCTTGCCAATTAGGAAGCGCCTGGCTTCCTGTTTGGCCAGGAAGCCAGCTATGCTCCCTGGTGACGAGGGAACATGGAGCCGGCTTCTCCGCCAATCAGGAAGTTCCGGTATCGGGATAGGCATCAAGAGCATTTGGACAAGTACTAGTATCGGTGCATCCCTAGTGAAAACGATGGCTTCTCAACAAGCCGCGTCCACACCATTCACGTGCGCCGGCTCGCGCTACATCAGGTCCTCATCCACACCTCGGGGGGTTTTGTAACTCGAACCCCTTCAGCTCTCCAAGAGAAACCCCAATGTTTTTAATGGTCGCTGTTCGCATCCGAGCGTTCTGTCCCTTGTAGCAAAACGTCTGGAACACGGAAAAAAAATAAGTACACAAGCTTGTTTTGGGGTGAAGTCCATTGATTGAGCCCCAATAGACGAGCCGGAAAATAATTCAAAGGAAGTTGGAGAAGCCTTCAAATCGCACTCCTGGCGGTTAGGTCCCTATTGTATGGTGGGTGCAGCGGTGACAAGATACACAGAGGCGGGACACCGGCAATCCGACATCACCAACAATGCGTCTTTATTGGCACATCTGCGGGTAATCACATAACAGCGACGTTTCAGGGGGTCAAGCGGGATCCCCTTCATCAGGCAAAACCCATGCAAACCTATAGCAGTTGCCACGGCAACCATTCAGCTTCTACCTTTCCATTAAAAGCTTAGCTCTAGTTTTGGCAAATTCGCCTCCAAGAATCCGATCCAATGCTAAAAAAAAAAAAAAAGCCAAACAACGCTCCGCTCAGGTGTGAATGTTGCATTAAATGCGTCATATTCATATTTACGCGGCACAACGTTAAATTGAGTTATTTTTGTCATTTTAAATAAAGTTTTTTTTAAAATAATGTGATACAATGTAACACATGAAGGCAATACACACATGCGGTATGCCCCACCGCGGGGTATAATTATAATACATTGTGTGAGGTAAATAAAGCTTCATATAGATGAGGGAACCCCATCCCCCACCCTGACACCGGCCCAGGCCCCACCATGCAGATATAACATACTAATAATGATAAGTCATATACTGTGAGGTATATGGAGGAGGGATGGAGGCCTCAGGCCGGGCCCCCTCACATATACATATATATCTGAGGTAAAGGCTGAGGCCCGCACTCCCCCTCTGCAGTCCGCGGTGTTTCCTGAGGCGGCAGACCGCCGGGAATAGCGCGGTGTGGGGGTAGGGCTCGGGGACGGGAGGGACCGGAGGAGCTGCGAGCCGGCACAGCCGAAGGCTGACAGTTACCGTGTGGGCTTTGCGAGTTCTCGTGGTGTTTTGATGGGCGATAATGGCGTCCTTCCTCGCGAGAGAATCCAGGCACTCCCACCGCCTCACCTCTGCCGCCGCCGATCCTGACACACACACTGCGCATGCGCGGGACGGACGGACGGACGCGGTGCTGCTAGCCGCGGGAGCGCCCTCTTTTGGTCAGAGGTGGGGAACTGCACCTTGTGGAGCGCTAGATCCCCGGATCGAGGCGAATGCATAGAGGTGCCGCCAGAGCGCGCCCTCTGCTGGCCAGATTGAGGAAGTGCAGCGTTCCGAATTGAACCATAGGACCGATGAGTTGCAATGAATAAGCACTAACACGGGACGCGCCCTCTGTTGGCCATATGAGGAAGTGCAGGAACCAGAATTGAACTGCTAACGGTATGTGTTACAATGAAGAGCAGCGCCATCTATTGACCGGATGGGGAAGTGCAGTCCCCAGAGTAGAACAGAAGGATTAACGTAGTATAATGCAGAGCGGTGACTAAGTGCGCCCTCTGCTGGCCAGACTGGGAAAGTGCAGGATTCAGGGTTTTACTGCAGGATCAATGTCCCACAAGGCAGAGTAAGTGCCCTCTGCCGGCCACATGAGGGAAGTGCAGGACCCAGGATTTTACTGCAGGATCAATGTCCCACAATGCAGAGTAGTGCCATCTGATGGCCAGATTGGGCAAGTGCACTCTACAGTATAGAACTGAAGGATCAATGTACTGCAATGCCAGAGCGATGACTAAGTGCGCCCTCTGCTGGCCAGACCAGGAAAGTAAAAACTTATCAAATCTATAAACCATCCTATAAAACCATAAACTGTCAAATTAAATCATGTAAAACTTTTAGTGAAGAATAAACATTATAAGGGGGTCACCTTATGTGTTAAATGTCCTTTCCATGTGACAGAGCACGGGCATGACACCAAACACAGCACTGTGGGAAGCAAAGAGGAAGGAAGGTCATTTGTTCCCGCTTACCCGAAGTCCGTGACTCTTGGGCATGGCACCAAACATGGCACTGTGGGAAGTGGGGGGGGAGAGGGAGGTCATATGTTCCCACATCAGGCCTGTGCCTCTTGGCAAGCTGCAATAGTGGGGAAGGGACCAGGGTGGGTTGTTGTTTTTTTAGACTCCTTGAGGGGCATCTATTATAAAAACCATCTGTTACTTTAGGAAGGAGAAAAAGCCAGCTTCAAACCAGGACAGTTCAAATGCTGGAAACTTTATTGTTCCGTACAAACGAGCAGAGTCCTCACCAGGACCTGACACATTTCACCCACACAGCTGAGCTCAGTCATGGAGGATTAAGGCCGATTGTGTGGGTGAAATGCATCAGAGGAGGAGATCTCAGATGGAGACTCTTTGCTTGTTTGTCCAGCAACATAAAGTTGTCCATATTTGAACTTTCCTGGGATGCAACCAAGTTATTTTCTCCTTCCTAGACTCACTTGTTTCATGGGGCGCAGGATGAGCCCCTGCTGGCATTTAGCACCAGGGTCTTTAGGAGAATGATCCAACCTAGGACATGGGAGCACCGCACTTTTATCCAACCTGTAACTTGACAAGTTCACTATAAGGTGACTTTAACCCAACAAAGGGCTAAGGACTCTCTCCCCACCCCTATGTGACAACACGGATCCCCCGCGTTTTCGACGGGGGGGGGGGGGGATTGAGTCAGATGCTTCCTCATATCTTAGGGTTGGGTACCAGTATCTAAAGGGAAGTAAGGGATGATAGGGAAGCACTTGCTGCAGCACCAGTGTTTTCACAGGGGGGGGGATTGAGTCAGATACTTCATATATCTTAGGGTTGGGGGAAGTAAGGGATGAAAGGGAAGCACTTGCTGCAGCATCAGTTGCACATCATTGACCAGCTTTCAGTAGTGACAATGGTGGACCATGGTGGGCTTTTAGGTCCAGCATTAGTACATTTCACTCAGTAACTAAGCCTATAGCAATGTCCCTCTCAGGAGCTGCAGGAATTTAGTGGGCTCTCCGGCTTTCCCTACCTGTGACCTGCCCTGTAGCTGCACCCAAAGAGCTCGCCGATCCACAGATGGCTTCACATTGACAGTCTTCAGATCCCTCAAACCTTTTCTGGCAATTTATTGGCTCGGTTGTAGTTGGGGAAGAAGGTAAGGGGTGCAGGATACCCCAAAAAACACACTTCTTGACCGGCCTTCCTCCTCCTTCAGAGGCGGATCTCTCTGGAGTCACATTCTCTCCCGCTAAAGCTTGGGGTGCAAGGGCCTTCCACCACTACTACCTCTACAGGCAAAGACTGGACCGTTCTGGAGGCAAAGATGACCTCTCTGGAGACCAAGACTGGACCTCTCTGGAGCCACATGCTCTCAAGGTAAAGTTTGGGGGGGCAAGGACCTTCCACCACTACTACCTCTACAGGCAAAGACTGGACCTCTCTGGAGGCACAAACTGGACTTCTCCGAAGGCAAATACTCAATCTCTCTGGAGGCAAAGACTGGACCTCTCTGGTGGCAAAGACTGAACCTCTTGGGAGGCAAGGACCGGACCTCTCTTTGAGGCAAAGACTGGACCTCTCTGGAGGCAAAGACTGGACCTCTCTGGAGGCACAAACTGGACCTCTCCGAAGGCAAATACTCAACCTCTCTGGAGGCCAAGACTGGACCTCTCTGGAGGCAAAGACTGGACCTCTCTGGCGGCAAAGACTGGGCCTCTTGGGAGGCAAGGACCGGACCTCTCTTTGAGGCAAAGACTGGACCTCTCTGGAGGCAAAGACTGCACCTCTCTGGAGGCAAGGACCGGACCTCTCTTTGAGGCAAAGACTGGACCTCTCTGGAGGCAAAGACTGGACCTCTCTGGAGGCAAGGACTGGACCTCTCTGGAAGCAAGGACCGGACCTCTCTGGAGGCAAGGACTGGACCTCTCGGGAAGCAAAGACTGGACCTCTCGGGAAGCAAAGATTGGACCTCTCTGGAGGCAAAGACTGGACCTCTCGGGAAGCAAGGACTGGACCTCTCGGGAGGCAAAGACTGGACCTCTCGGGAGGCAAGGACCGAATGTCTCTGGAGGCAAGGACCGGATGTCTCTGGAGGCCAAGGCCCGGACCTCTTTTGGCATGACCTGCCACCATTACTATGTCTCCAGGCAAAGATTGAACCTCTTTGAAGGCCAAGGCTGCACTTGCTCTGGAGTTACATCATCTCCAGGTAAAGTCTGGGAGGCAATGACTGGGCCCTTATATACTCACTTCCTCACCAGGCAGAGCCCGGGAGGCAAGGGCCCTTCTACAAGGTCTCCCCAAATTTCTATCCGATTCCCCAACCCACATCGCTAGTATAAACCCCCCTCAGTGATTGGCTGGGGCAGAATTAATATTCATAACCCCATACACTGAACCTTCTCACTCTCTCTGCTGCAGAACACTCCCTATTAGCAGACAGGAGCACACAATGTCGTTGGGCTTAGGAGAAACTCAACGAACCCAGATAACACAATCATAGAATGGCATCTTCAATCGGAGGCTTCTCACACAGGTGCTTTGCTTTGTGACAGATTCCCTTTAAAGAAGCCGCCTCTGTCAGTGTGGCAACCTGTCCCTGCTTTGCCCTTTGCATTGGATGTGATT